AAGTGCACTATAAATATATATTTATTTTCGATAAATAAAATCGGTAAGTAGTCGCTAACTTAATTGTCGGAGTTGATATGAACGGGAGGGAACTCGGCTAGTACCCGGGAGGAAATTCGACATCTATATTTTAACCAAAACTACCTGCGGAAAGGAATTCGGCATCACCGAATAAGACTCCTGATGTTTAGTAGTCCAAAAAATTTTAATGGCAAATACATTCAAGAAGCATCAGTTTGGTAAAGGCTTTTGTGATCAGTAAGTGAACTGATGCTGTTCTGATGCGGGTCTAAAAGTTATTTGTGGACACATTGAGCATCGGAAATGGAAGGACCTACTCCTGCTAGCCTTTAACCAGAATCAGGACAGCATCAGAGCATCATTTCATTGATCTTTTAAATATCAGGTTACAGTGAGAAGGTTCTTTACTTCAAAACTCCAATAAATAAAGGACAACCGTCCAAATTAGTACAGGCTCAAAAAAAAATGTTAAAATAATAATTTGATCTTGCAATTTCTTAACATTTTTGAATAAATTTTTAAATTGTATTTTCTTTTCAGGTAAATGGTGCTTGGGCCCTTCCAAGTTTTGTGTGTGATTTTTACATCGCCATGGATGTTACCTGTTCCACTTCTTCCATATTTAATTTAGTTGCCATTTCGATAGATAGGTAAGTTGATGCAATTTTCTCATCTTTAATCCTGCGCCAGTTCTTTTATAATTTGTTTTTCTCACTCCTAATTATTTTTCATCCACCCCCGTATATTACGCTTATGTATTGTTTTGTCTCAAAAGGCGACTATACCTTTTATAAACTAAAGGACAATTCTTCAGTTTCAGCTACACATTATGCTACCTCTAAATCAGCTTATAAAAAATCGTTTAAAGCTGTGATTCCAAAAAGGCTATTCGAATATTTAAAACTTTTGTGTCCATGATACATTGTATGTGGAGTTTGCCTGGCGACCTGTCGCAACTAACTTTTCATGAAAGTTTACAAGGTTAAACGCTGAGTTTGATTTACAAGTTTAGTTAGTAACAGAACCAAAATTGCTTTTGCCAGATTAAAACCCAGCAATGTATGTACTGTGACGTACAGTAACTAGACTTTATAAACGAAAAATAGTTATTCCAACTGTTTCCATTTGGAAACATCGTAATATGTTCGACTACACATGTTTGGTATCTACCAAGTTGGTACATAAATTAGCGACAATGATGGCCAAAATACCCTAGAAATGTCGAAGACTAGTATATATTGCAGTAGACTCAGGTGACTTCAAAAAAATTTACGACCAACCTATTTAAAAGTCTTATATCTTTTCCCACCCTTATCTATTATAATTTTTGTTCCTATACCAACTTAAAGCTGTAAACTTTAACCAATTTATTGTCAAGTAAAAGTCAAAGTCCTAAAGGTCCTACCTGGCACCTGTAAATCAAGCTTTTGCCCTAAATAGTCAAAGAGCATTCAAGTATTACTTAAGCACATGTAGACGGTGAAGGTATGAATAGATACTTCGTAAGTGTTGTCTTTATCCGTCAAGAAAGAACTTATTACATATAAATATAGATCTTTCGGGCTCTTTCTCGGCCAATACGATCTGCTGTTAAATTCTTTTCCATCACTAACAATTTTCTATTTTGCTGATAACTTATACAACAGTCAACACAAAATGGTATTAGTGACACAGTAAATTTCGTGTTAAGGATATGTATTCTCGTCAACTCTAAAAGCGAAATTAATATGGACAATTATTATATAATATATAATCTGTTACTTACCTTTTACTGTAATTGTATTGAAAATATGCACCGATTTTTATTAATAAGCATTTAGGAATACTTACTTCACTCGTAAACAGATTCATTTCATTTGGTAATCAACAAACAGGTCTTTATTTCTATTGTGACACTAATGGTATCGTTTTGTGTTGACTAGCAAAAATGGACTATTGTTAGTAATGCAAAAAAAATTAACAGCAGGTTAGTAAAGCAAACATTTTTTTTTCTTAACGCTTTGTAATTTTTGTGTACGGCACTGCGAATATCATGTTAAATTCCATCTGAATCGAATCGTATATTGTATTAGTCGAGAAAGCATCCTTTTCCATCTTTGTACCTACCCCGTTGTAAAAATGATTTATGGCTTTTCGTCTTGACTCGCCGGAAGATCTATATATACATGTATTTATGGTTAGAGCTGTACAATAATTATGAAAATTATTTCGTAGGCCATTAAGTTTGCATACTCTATCTTCTCAAGGTAATTGTACATTACCTCTACCACTTGATTAGCTGTCAGGCAAATAACATTTGGTTAGTAAAATAGTATTTGCCTGGGCAAACAATTTGAAATAATAGTTGTAAAAATATGCCTAAACGATCTGCCTAGGCAAATATAATATAACTGGAATAACAATTTATCTGCGTAATATGAAAAGCTAACAGAATCATTAAAATAGTTTATTATGACTGATATACAATAATTTTACATCTCTTGCGTGGAGATTGATTTTCTTTTTTCGATTGAACGCTAGGTAGTTACTTAGGAAATTTGAAAAACGTTGATTCCTATAACACCATTAAATTGAAAGTGTAGGTTTCCTCAAGTTTTACCTCGTTCCTTTGAAAGCTTGCCCCTTCAACTTCGTTATAAACTTAATTCACTCAAGTCGTCCTCCTGGGAATCGAGACTTCCCGTTATTTCTGAAGAAATAATATCACTAGAAGCAAATATTTGTAGCATTTCGAGTATTGAATCGATACATTAATTTCTTATTTTATATATTTTCTCAATTTCAAAATTGACACGGAACATTTCAAAATGGCAATTCAAATTTCTTTCCGAACGATAAGTTATTTCATTCGCGCAATTAGTCGCTATGTCATTAGTTCTACATGAATTGATGTGTGGTAAAAAAACAAAAATTCTGTTCCATGACTTTAGTAATTTAATATAGTGAAAATGTGTAAAGACATTCAACCAAAAACATGATGATATCTTTAAAAATATTAGATACTATTGTAATATTTCCCCTACATTTCATAAGTTTTATGTAGGTATATTACAAATATAAGAGTTTCATCATCATAGAGTCGTCAGTCCTAAGACTGGTTGGACACGTACCTCCACTTTTTCCTATCCTGAACTAAACCTCAAAACTAGAACAGCCCACATTCTTAACTAAATGCGAACAGTAATCTAATCTAGCTCTACCTCTACCCCTCCTAACTCCTGTTTCTGCCTCTAATATGTCTCTGACTAGACCTTCATGCCTGAGAAGGTGTCCTACCAACCTATCTCGCCTATTTTTATTGACTTCCATAGAGTCCTCTGTTCTCCTATTCTCTCTAATACCTCTTCATTTCTAACCTTTTCTACCCACATTTCGAAGGCTTCTAACCTTTTCTTTTCCGCCGCGCCCACTGTCCATGTTTCGCACGCGTACAACGCCGTCTCCTATCCTTATATTCGCTCTTTCCTTTTTTTTCCTTGCATATGAGTTTAATTTATTGTAAAAAAAAAAATATGTTAACATCCCTAATTGCGTCTACATGGAAGAAGTGTAATTTAAAGATGAAAATTCATTAATCTACACCAGTGAAACTAGAATTGTAGCTTAATTGTAGCCTTTGTTCTTAATTATCCCGGCGTGTTCACCGAAATTTTCAAGAAAATTTTTTAATTAATAAATAATTGCTCATAATAGTTGTGTAGGTATGTTCATGAATGTCCTAATTTCGACATCAAAGCGATAATAGGTCTAATTGTACCTTGAAAGTCCTTGCGGAAGAATGAAACTTTAAGGGAACCATCCCTGAAAAAATACTACGGACTATTACTGTGTCGTGTTTTAACGTTGGAGTTTGAGCTTTTTATTGTGTTCTTTTAAATTGAATTCAATTTGTTCGTCAATACGTCTATTGGGGATGAAAGCAGCTTTTGTTTTTTGTTTCAGATATATTGCTGTAACTCAGCCCATTAAATACGCGAAACACCAAAGCAATCGAAGGGTGTGGCTGACGATAGCTCTTGTGTGGGTTATTTCTGCAGCCATCGGATCTCCAATAGTTTTAGGTCTTAATAATACACCAGACAGGGTTCCTGACGCTTGTCTCTTCTACAACAGCGACTTCATTATTTATTCAAGCTTATCCTCTTTTTATATCCCATGTATTATAATGGTTTTTCTCTACTATAACATATTCAAGGTAAGCCTAATCAAATATGTACACTTATCTATTTATACTTACGTTAAAAACTACTGTAGTCGCCTTAAAATTTTACATGGATAAGTTCTATTAATTTAGAATAGTATACTTCGTTTACTTTCTGTAGCGATGTGACCTTCATTTTGACCGGCGCAGACTAGAAAAGAACAGCACTAGGCCAGAAAAGGAAGGAGACAACTCTCGGCCGAACTATAATCCGTACAGTACTGCACGGAAAAATTGACCATATTATCTACTACAATTCCATTGCTCAAATGTGCTGTTATTGGTACCATTTACAACTGAAAATATCAACGAGATGTTTATTTATATTTGAAGACATATAAAAGGCTTTAACGCTTGTTTTCGACTCGCACTACTATTCATGATTGAACAAAACTTTTGGCAGGTACTGTATGAAAAAGTATGTTTAATGAACAAGAGTCGAGAGTATAATGAGCTTTTTTCTCCCTACCTACGATTTTGCCAGCGCGCATCCAAGACATTGGAAGGGGCACATCTCTACAGAAAGTAAATGAAGTATACAATTTTATTATAAAGTTATTCTAACTAAATATGTAAATCATCATCATCATCATCATAGGGTCATCAGTCCTAAAACTGGTTAGATACGCACCTCCACTCTTTCCTATCCTGAGCTAATCCTCGCATTTCCCTAAAACTAGAACAACCCACATCCTTAACTATTTGCAAACAGTAATCTAATCTAGGTGTACCTCTACTTCTCCTAACTTCCGTTTCTGCCTCTAATATTAACCTTCTCTATCCACGTTATCCTCATCATTCGCCTGCTACACCACATTTCGATCGCTTCTGACCTTTTCTTTTCTGCCGCACCCACTGTCCATGTTTCGCACCCGTACAACGCCGCGCTCCAACCATACACCATTAACAACCTTTTTCTAATCAATTTCTAAATTAACCGCTCGCGAGCATGCATAGAAGTGACTTCTTTTTATTGAAGGCGACTCGGCCCTGCGCTATCCTCTGCTTTATATCCCTACTGTTCCTTCGCTAAATAATTAGAAGTGGGGTAACTTTTAGAAAATTTATTCGTTTTTATGTTGGGTGATATGTGGGCCCCGAGCCAAAACGATTCAGTATTTGAACAATTTCATTTAATTTCCCAATACATTTAGTGACGTGAGTTCTGTTGGCAAATGTTTCAAACGGCTCCCACGTGGAAAAGGGGATGCCATTCCCGCAATACTACTTTTGTTCCATATTTTCCAAACCTGGTGACAACATTCTCAACGGAAATCACTAAAAGCTTAAGTATATACACGGGTAGATAAAAAGGCGGTTAAGGGTACTTTAAGTTATACCTTCTCCGGCGTAACGTTCTGGAGGGTGGATATTTTTTAACGACTACCCTATCCCTATAAATTTCGTTTAAATATCTTTAACTGAGCCAACGCTTCTGCTTTATTTTCAATTTTACTCAATTCATTTTCCCTTTTCATATTAACTTCCGATTGTGATTTAATAAATGGTAAATTACAAGCATCAAGTTGTATATATAGATACCTAAATAAATAAGAACCTCTGACGTGCTGCCTATCATATTACCCTATTTAAGGAAAAGAAATTTAAACTGGGAACTTATTGTATATGTTTAAATTCCTTCCGATTCAATTTCACCAAGTCGTAAGTTTTGTAATCGAAACTTAGTGAAACTCCTGTTTTTGGCCTTAACCAAAGCCGAACATTCGGTCAAAGAACAATTAATTTGACCGAGCCGCACGAATTTCGGAAATCTTTTAGAAACGACCCTTTTGCTCCTTTCTCTCTCTCTCTCTTATTCCCCCCCCCCCTTCTCATTGCACAAAGTCCGAAATCTTTTATGTTTAGTGATCCTTATTAGGAACACAGATTCGTTGATTGTTAGTAATTTTAAGGTTTAAGACGGCAAACACAGATATGTACTTAAGACGTTCAAAATTGCATAGTCTGCAATAAAACTGTAGCATTTACTTTCTTCTTTCAACTTACTAATTAGACTAGAACGGTTGTTGACAGAACGCCTACTTTTACTGACGACAGATGTTAAGTAGGAGTTAATTGTTATACATATTATTTTCAGTATTCGTAAATCATCGTCTTATTAACATTTACAGTTAATAGGTAATATTTAAGTAACGTTCATTCAGATATTTATTTCGTTTCATCATTTTTATTTTGTACGTTTCAATAATTCATCTTCAAAACGAATCTTTATACCTAGAAATTGTCACTGACTTTCTAAATTCCTGAATATTAATTTTTATGATACTGCCCGCTACCTGCAAGGGGACAGTTCTTACAACCAGGGTCGCTTGACGCTCTGATTTATCAACCCCCTCTAAATTTTTGTAGTTAGTAAGTAACATCCAGTATTTGTATGACTTCGATTTAAGTTGTTCAACAGTAAACACACTTTGTAGTTATCCTTACCATCATCATAGTTTTGTACCTTTGAGTCAAATTCTTCGTATTGTAAATATATTTATTAAGATTTAATATCCAACGTGTTTTTATCCTCCACCAAGAAAAGTTGAGTGTTGTTAACTAAATTCGAGTTTTGACATTCAAACGCAATTTAACAACAGACGTTGTAGGGAATATCGTAAACATAGAAAAGAGATGTCAGGTAGGAATTGCAGCGGACACTTACAAAGAAAAGGAATAACATTACACCAATTGAAGGAGCTTCGGATTGCAACTTCGTCCAGTTTTCTTAAAAGTCTTTTTGCCCTTTAACCACGCTGATTTACTCACTATAAGGTTTCGTATTGTTCAGAAACACACTGTATACAATTAAATGAAGAACCAGATAACATAGCATTCCGAACATTGTTTACTGCTTTTAAATTAAGAAGCTACTAGTAACGTAATACTTACACTAGGATACCTACTAGTTGTAAAAGTTTCGCAATGCGGAATTACCTACTCTGCTATCGTGCTTTATTATTACTACCCTTCAGCTTCTTCGTTCACCTATTTTAAATAAGCTTACAGATTCTTTTGTTTTTAATTATTGCAACAAGATAGCGAGGCATTTTTATTATACGCCCAATGAGTTACTATACTGCATTTTATTCCAAAGCGATTCGCTTCCTCAACAAACGTTGTTTATTTTACGAGGGTTGTATCAAAAGTGACATCTATTTGCTCTATATTAGAGGTGCTAATATTTTATAGAATGTTATATTATTGTTTTTATTATCGATCTTTAAATTTCCTGCGTAAATTTATATTTTTNGCGATTCGCTTCCTCAACAAACGTTGTTTATTTTACGAGGGTTGTATCAAAAGTGACATCAATTTGCTCTATATTAGAGGTGCTAATATTTTATAGAATGTTATATTATTGTTTTTATTATCGATCTTTAAATTTCCTGCGTAAATTTATATTTTTCTCAATGATTATATAGAAAACCAAAAAGCAATTACCATTAATTAATCTCACCGAAAATATGTTAGTTAATTAAAGTTGTTGGTTTTCAAAAAAGTGAAATCGTAATAAATAAGTATTAATTTGTTTCCGTCTCATTAAAGTAAATTCGCCTCTGTGCGTTCAAGTTTTTCATTGGTACGTCTCATTAAATATTAGCAAAAAATCGTAATTGATATTTAAAAATTCCATTTAGTCCGTTTTAGAGGAAAAGGATTATAAGAATCAATTTTGATATGAAGGTTATGAGATCATTATCGCATTCTTCCAATACAACTCTTTTTAACTTTACTACTACTGTAAGATACACAACCTGATTAAAATCGAAAATAATAATTTCAATTAAGTAGTTTAACCCTGTATTTCTTTTCCTAGAAGAAAATTTAACTTTACCCTCTGATATGCGTAGGATTTTGCCGTGCGGATTTTTAATACAAATCCGTCAACTTCCTTCGCAAAATTTTCTGTATTTCTGTGATTGTTTACCTACAAGGAAAATTACTATGATGTATTATGATGAATTGCTGTAGGAAGCAAACAAAAAAGAAGGAAAAACGTGAGACGTCATAAAAATACTTAACCTACTTTCATTTTCACACAGAGAAAATATCCTTGGTAGTTACCAGTACTATTCAGCATTTTTCAAACAAAGTTTATTTTAATTGGTAGTTCGTAACTGATTTAAAGTGGATAACAATGATTAGTATACTTTATGTAACACAGAGAAAAAGATATCACTTTTTAAAAAGAGAAACTTTACAACTGTAGGGATAGATATACAGGGGCAAAATATTAATATGCTTAGATTTGCAGATGATATAGCAGTATTAGCATTTGGCAAGGAGGAGTTAGAGATAGCTTTAAATAAAATGGAACCGCTATTGACAAAACAGTACTGTATAAAAATAAATAAAAGTAAAACAAAAATAGTGGTATGTAAGGGAAGAAAAAGTAGAGAAAGAGCGAATATAAAGATAGGAGACGAAAAATTAGAAGAAGTGACGGATTTTAGGTATCTAGGAAGTCAGATAAGTCAGGACGGAAGGAGTAGCAGGGATATAAAGCAGAGGATAGCGCAGAGTCGAGTCGCCTTTAATAAAAGGAAGTCACTTTTATGTTCGCGATTAGATTAAGATTAATTTAGAAATTCGAAATATTAATTATGGATCAAAATTCTTTATTTAAAAACATTATGATTTACTTAGAGTCAATCTCATATACTTAGATAATTATTTCTTCTATTCTGAATCGACAAATATCGAATATTGTTCTGTGAAACGACCATTAAATCTCAGCTCTTTCTAGAGGGATTAATAGCAGGACCTAATCGCTCAGTTAACACATCAATTTGTCCTACTTACCGATAATCTGATTGTGAAAGTAATGGTCTTTTACTTCAATTTTTTTTAATTAAAGCTGAACTTAAAATCGGATGAAATTGCGATAGGTCTATAAGGGAGAGCAGATAAAAATCGAAGTTTATTTCTACTGGAATTCATACAAGTATAATTTTGACGAAGAAAGAATGAAAAGGATAATAATTAAATTTAGTCCAACTAGCAAATCTACAGCGTGTTTCGCTACATTTGAAGCAATACGTACTGGGAGAAGTTAATCATGAACTAAAACCCATCTTAATTTACTTAACGTTTCCGAGGCATCAATCTCACACTTCGTATCTCGCGCAGTTATCGGCACATATTTTCTCTATTTTGCCGAGAGAAAGTCTAAAGTGGAAAGCTAAAGGAAGAATTGTACGTCACTTTTACAGCGCAGTGGTCCAGTAGAAGTTCATCCCTCTGTTTATAACCATCAAACGATAACATTTAAAACGTTGCTTTTTCTCGATCGGTCGCTCGCAACGAGGAAACATCACGTCATCGAGAAAATCCTTTCAATGCTTCGGCACTTCTAAGGATTCGTGCTTTTCCATTACAGCTCAACATTGGGAATCTCCCGATTGCGTAAAACATACAATAGAAATGTAGATTACGTTTTTGATTTGTGAAATTTTGGATTTTGTTTAACTGAAAATGTTTCAGTTATAATTAAAAATACCGAATGATAAGGATTACTATCTCACTGCAATTGTTTCAGCTCATCGTAACTCTCACAGATTACGGGGAAACCCATGATAAGCGTAAAACTTCGAACTTGAAACAGGCTGTATATCAAACTAGTTCAACAAATAGAAAGAATAGTTTAAAAAAACGAAACGTGATTACAAAAAAGTACAAAATATTTTTTTTCTCCATAGACAAATAAGTCAGGACACAAGGAGTAGTAGGGATATAAAGTAGAGGATAGCGCAGGGTCGAGTCGCCTTCAATAAAAAGAAGTCACTTCTAAGATCGCGAACGGTTAATCTAGAAATTCGAAAAAGGTTGTTAAAGGTGTATGTTTGGAGCGGGGCGCTGTACGGGTGAGAAACATGGACAGTGGGCGCGGCGGAAAAGAAAAGGTTAGAAGAGTTCGAAAAGTGGTGTTATGAGTCTAACATTGATAGAAAAGGTTAGAAATGATGAGGTATTAGAAAGAGTAAGAGAACGGAGGACTATGGAAGTCAATAAGAAATAGACGAGATGGGTTAGTAGGACACCTTCTCTGGCATGAACGTCTAGTCAGAGACATATCAGAGGCAGAAACGGAAGTTAGGAGAGGTAGAGATAGACCTAGATTAGAATACTGTTCATAAATAGGTAAGGATATGGGTTGCTCTAACTTTAGACCGAGCGGCATGGCCTAGAGGTCTAGACCATTGCTTAGCATTCGGGAGGACGCCGGTTCGATTCCGGGTCCGTCTACCTTGGTCCAAGTTTTTCTGTGCTTTCCTTGGATCACTTAGGCAAATGCTGAGGCAGTAATATTCCACAGATAATCTTTCACTCCCTTCTGTCTTCATTTCGTCCGTCTCATCTTTCTCACCCGAACCACCACCCACCCATTCCCACGATTCCTGAAAGCAGGCTGAAGAGGGACTTCCGCCCTACCTTCCGGCATAGTCCGGAGGGACTGCCCGCCCACCAGCATTACTAGCTGGTGGGAATGAAACACCCAAAAGTTTTTTTAGTTTTTTCTAACTTTAGGGAAATGCGAAGATTAGCGCAGGATCGGAAAGAGTGGAGGTGCGTGTCCAACCGTCTTAGGACTGACGACATTATGATGATGATGATAATGTAGACAGAGTCCTATTTAAATTGCAAGTAGCAGGAATACGACATCTTGCATTTAAAATACGCATTTTCACTCATATATTCTATTATGTATGTGTAGCAACTTCAAAAATTTCTATGAACTATTCTAATTGAGTTATGAATAAATAACGTCAAACAGCGCAGTAAGCGCCGTCTGCAGAGATTTGTTACAAGTAATAATAATAGTGACTATCATATGCTCATTAATGTTTGACAAGATACGTTTTAATTAAGGATATCGCCTTGTCAAACTCAGCCCGTGGCATAGCATAATGATAAGGCACGCACACCTAACTGAACAATAAGTTCTTGATCAGGATTCTGTCACAAGTCATTCATCTATGTTTACCGTTATTGTTAGGTAGTAGACAGTCAATTTTTCCCCCATTGTTATTGATGCAGTGCTTTTTCTTTTAATTACTGTAGCAGGCCATTATATTTTTTAATTGGTATACATTTTATTACACCAGTCAGTCATTATAGTTAATAAATTATCCGCGAAAGTTTGAATTCATTTCAATTAACAACAGAGTAGGCATATTGATTAGCAGTAACGTAATAATTGATAGGATTTTAATTGTCTCGAGCCTCTCCACATGATTAATGTAGTATTTGCAGATAGCCACATTGTAAAACTCTCTAAATTCGCGTACATGAATAAATATTTGTTTAAAGTAATCCGGCTGGTCTGACCAAATTAACGCATTTATTATGTAGTAACAAACCTTCCTATAAAAATATAGATTAGTTTGTTTTATAAACTTTTATTTACTTGCGATTTTACTATTGAAACCCCGGCCTTAAATTCAATTCTAGAAAATTTGGTTTTATTATTATACCTTTATATGGGTACATATATGAGAGAGAGAAACCGAAAGTGTAAAAATTGATTTGTTGTAAATTTTTGTCGTTTTTATTTGCAGGCCCTGCGGAAACGAGCAATAAAAGCAAAAATGAACCGAAAACCCTTTCCTCGAGATATAAAACCTGGTTTCGTAATAGAGAACGTGGCGAATACGCGAAAGTTAGCGGAAACGGCGCTCGGACCGACTTCAACTATTGACGAGCAAGTGACTAACACCGGGTCTGGGTCTGCCGATGAGGAAGATAATGGAGTTGACCACGACTGCAGCGTTATCGCCAACGATAAAAGTACCGAATTTATTTTGGGAACTGTCGTCGAAGAAGCAGCGTAAGTTTTTTTATCAGCCATAACCATTCTCTAAAATCAATAAAATGACATATAGTTATCGCAAAGGATTCGATACTTATAAGCGCTATGTACATCTAATGACGAACAAGGCAAGACCATGGTCAAGACTTAGTAGAATAAAGACTTATATACTCAGATAATTATTTCTTCTATTCTGAATCGACAAATATCGAATATTGTTCTGTGAAACGACCATTAAATCTTACCTCTTTCCAAGAGGATTAATAGCAGGACTTAATCGTACAGTTAAAACATCAATTTGTACTACTTACCGATAACCTGTCTTGATCTTAGTGTTAGTCTTGATCTTGCCAGCATAAAGACAATCTTGGTCTTGACCTTGCATTTTCGCAAGACTAAGGCTGCTAGACAGAGCATCCCTAAGTATATTAAAAGCATTGATAATGTATACACAATGAGGGTTAAGGGAGATGACGCCCTCTTGTCATGGTTCTATTAAATTTGAATTAAATTAGTCCAAACACATTATTAAAATATTTCAAAAATTATGTAAAGTACCATTTCAATTGTTTGAAAAGATTAGTCCTTTTTTTATATACTGTAAAAATTTGTAGCATCAGATACTGAGGCCACATTATAAACGAGTATTTTTTTTTTAATTTTTCCATTAAGGACTACTTGTATCTAATATTGTATGTACATCTTTAAACGGGGATTTGTGTTGATATTCGTTGAATAGTTCGTTTAAAATTTCAAGCTTCTTTTAGTAATCTTTTTGCAAAACGGTATTAATCTTACTAATTTAATTTTGTTTAATTAAAATGAAACTGGATGGACTTAACTTATAATCTTGTTGGAATCAAATCTCTATTATTCTCCTCAACAGCGTCTGAAAGATGTCCTGTTCAATAAGCACAATGTTTACAATTTTAATTAAATTTAATTTTAGAATGATTTAATATCTTGCTATTTTAACGTTTAAGTGATTAATAAGTAACTTAACTTTAAACCCGAATGGAATGTCTTTTCTTGACTCAACAAAAGAATTCTAAAGAAAATTTTTATCTTCTCGCTCATTAACTATCAGGTTCAACTTTACTCCTCGACGACTAAAGCATTTCGTTTTAAAATGTTGTAGCTAAATAGTTTATTCACAAAATGGGTTATGGAGACAATGCACCGCATTCAAACTTCTCAAAGCGATTTGTATACAAAGAACTTTGCGGTATTTCTAGCGAAGACACTTATTGACTTACTACCCTTGTTTCATTTTGTCAAGCAAACATAAAGTGCGAAACTTCGAATTTTAAAGTTTCATGAAGTCTTCTAACACTTTAGTTTTATCTAAAAGTGTCAAAATTGGGAGAACCGCTTATTATCTTTCCACTGATTTTTATTATTATGGACACTGAACCGTTTTCGACATAAAAATTCATAATTAACAGTGCCAACATTGAGCATATTTTTCATAAACAGCTTCATTATTATTATCATTAATATTTGAAAGTTGAATCTGCGCTGTTCTTGTACTTTAAATCCAGCCGCAAAATTGCTGCTCCATAAGACCGTAAATTAATTTAGCAAAGTGAACGCAATCACGAATTAATAGCGCTTTTAGCTAAGAAATTATGGGCTGTAAAGTATGAATTAGATACCGCTAGGTGTAAAATACTTTTTATTAGCCAAAGATCTTTACTATAGGTACGTGAAGAACATGAAAACGTAGCGTTTTTTGGTGCCTCCATTTTTTTTTTATTTGCGTTTAAGAAATTATTATTATAGAAATATTAAATTCAAAATTCTGAAAAAAGGGAAGCTAGGAGACGTCTTGACTTAGAAAAGCTAAAATGTGACGAAACGCGTGATAGACTAGGTAAAAGGACAGACGAAACACTAAAGGCGGCGGGAAAAACGAATGACGGGGACGTAGAGACAGAATGTAACTGCATAAGACGTGCCTAAAGTTAGCAGCTGCAGATATACTAGGTCTTAAACAAAACGAAAGTAGGAAACCCTGGATAACAAATGAGATAGTAGGATTAATAGACGAAAGGCGAAATTACAAAAACAGGACAGACGAAGAAGGGCAAAAAAGATATAAAGCTATAAAGTGGGAAATAATTAGGAAGTGTAGAGCAGCTAAGGAACAGTGGATTGATAGGATGTGTAAAGAAGTAGAAGAAAAGTTTGAAGTAGGTAAAACCGATGAGACGTATAATATAAGGATGTAGGATACAGTAGTAATAATATAAGAAACGAGGCAGGGGTCATTTTGATCGAAAATGAGGAAAAGGCAGATAGGTGGAAAGAATATTTAGAGAACCTATACGCAGGCTCTGAGTTAGGAGATATATTAGAGAAGGAAGATAGTATGGAGATAGATGAGCTTGGTTATCCCATAATGAGAGAAGAGTTCGATGTAGCATTAAAAAATTTAAAAAATAATAAGGCGTCAGGTGTGGATGGGATACAGTGGGCGGAAAAAAAAGGTTAGAAGCGTTCGAAATGTGGTATTACAGGCGAATGATGAGGATACCGTGGATAGAGAAGGCTAGAAATGAAGGGGTATTAAAAAGAATAGGAGAACAGAGGACTCTATGGAAGTCAATAAAAAATAGGCGAGATAGGTTGGTAGGACACCTTCTCAGGCATGAAGGTCTAGTCAGAGACATATTAGAGGCAGAAACAGGAGTTAGGAGGGGTAGAGGTAGACCTAGGTTAGATTACTGTTCGCAAATAGTTAAGGATGTGGGCTGTTCTAGTTTTAGGGAAATGCGAAGTTTAGCTCAGGATAGGAAAGAGTGAAGGTACGTGTCCAACCAGTCTTAGGACTGACGACCTTATGATGATGATGAAGAAATTATGTTAATTATATAGCTTATTATGCAGCTATTTACCTTTTATAGTTGACAATACCGCAGGGGCAAAGTCAGTCCGACATGTTGCCCTAATGGCGCTATTGACTATACCTAATACCAATGGTGGGCTACATACGTTCTCGAGGCCGCATGTGGCCTCTGTAAGTTTCTTATGCCGCCTTCATGAAAGCTAGTTATTATACATAAACTAAACAATTACAACAATTAATAAATTATCACGTTACGGTGACGGTGTCAATAATTGTTCTTCTGTTTCCAATTCATTAATTAATTATTTGGACCTGCACGATAAAACTGGATTCAGATATGACAGCATTTTTTGTAAATTTTGCCTTTTATTAAAAATATAGTTTAATAAAAAAATTGGTATTACCGTTTTCTGTGTCTGTACATAGGTACAAGAAGAAATGGTCAATTTAGTGGCTATTTTGGGGTGATTTTTTATGGTATGTGTACCCTCGTCTCTCTAATCACTATCAGTATTATTGTTATCTTTTCATAGGACATGGGTACCAAGTTGTAAATCGGACAGAACAGGCCACTGTGTATCACTTAAAATTAGCTTAGAATTACCAACCCCTCTAAATTATCTGTTCGTTTACAACCCCCCATCCAACTTTATATGTAGGTAACTAAAACCTGTAATCCGCTAAATGAAACTGCCTTAATTCTACTAAGACCTCTGGTTATTTATGTATGACGGGTTGCAAACATGTCCAATTTCAATTAACATTACTGTACCTACCTACTTAATTGATACAAAGAAACGGGATTGTTGAGTATCTTCTGCAAAATGTATTTGCACTTCAACTTTGTAAGCAAGTTTTATGGGCTCATAAAGTAGTATATCCGGGACAAACTTTACCTGCTTATTCTCTCTTTCTCTCTCTCTCTATCCTACAGAATTACGACCGTTATGGCATCCCTAACCACACCATCTCGACTAGGAGACCCGAATGGAAATAACGATTCGGGTTATGTACCGAGCCAAACAGAAATTGTAACAGACAGTCCACGAAAGTCCATTATTCACACAAGAAGGAACGGTTCCACAAACGAAGCGGAATTAAGGTGAGTTTTTCCGCCTACGTCTTTCATCATTTCCATACTTCACAACACACATTCGGGGGAGTTATTGAAGACGCAGAAAAAAATCATACGTCCGAGTTTTATACTTCAAAGTTCAGACTAAAGATTAGCGAAATCACGAACATCCTGAAAAGATCTTATGAAGTAAACAAGAAATAAAGCACACTTGAAAAGTTTCACATCATAAAACGAATTTTACTCTGAGCGAAATCGGAAACTTTTGCAATGTGTTTTCTTTCTTATTTTTTTCAACATGATTCTCAAAAATTCGTCGGACAAAGTTTAGAATTCATCTTAAAAAAAATTCCATACAATATTAGTAACCGGTCTTCGGTAAGTAATTAGTCTTAGAATATTGATTTTAATCTGTATTAAATCGTACATTCTTTAATTATTACATTTAACCTTAACAAGAACACGCGCTATGAAAACCGTTTAAAAGGTGCACATTTTGAGGATTTTTTTTTTGAAAAGGGCATCAAACATCATACAGTAAAAAGCAGATCAAAAGATCAGATTGTACAAGAAATACGTTTCGTGGAATTGGTTACTTTTGTAGTTATTTATAGCGCCGGTATAACTATTTCGTTCATTTAATTTATTTCCGTCAGATTTAGTTTAAGTGTCCCATAAAGGTTACTAAAATGGTTGAAAAATAGATTTAGGAATAGTGATTCCTCAAAAAAGTAACTAAAAATGTAATATCTATTTGCAAATCACAATTATTTTGATTTTATTTTTCTTTTTCTAATGCATGGGCACCTAAACTTTAACATCCTTCAGCTTTTGTATCTTTAATGTTCAATTTTATGAAATACGCGCCATAAAAGTAACAAAAATCAAACCATTTTGCAATAATTTTTTCTTTGGTTCCATCGCCATTAATAAAATAAAAGGAAGGCGATTGTTACCAGGAAATCATAAAACACTAGTAGGAATAAAATAAAGCTACCCCATAGAATCGTTGTAAGTCCCCGGGTAGATACCTTATATACTTTATACTTGTGTAGGTGTGTGTATATCTTCTCTAATGCTCCAGTTAAATACTTCAACAAAAGTGTCAAGAGACACATAAGTTTCTTCGGTCTTTTGGCCAGTATTTTACACTTCACACAAGAAATTGATGAGTTCACGTGATGATAATACCTTAAATTTTATAAGAGCGCACCTTACAAGTCATCTGCAAGCCTCCAAGATTTATAGAGAATTACATCCGTTTTACAATTTACAGATGATGCAAGAGTTTTCCTCATGAGAATAATAATGAGAGCATTTTTATATGTTTCAACGTTTCAAATGAAAAATTAACGATTACCTCTGAAGAAGGTTGTTCCATTTTCTTTTAATAATACTTCCCACTTTAAAAAAAAAACTGGGTGGTGTAATTTCGAAATAAAAACCAACACTGTAATAGATAACTGAATACAAGAAAACGTTTAAAACGTGTAAATATACCAATTATTATTGTGTACACGAAATTTACCAGAACCTTTTAGATCTGGCTACAGTGAGGTGATGATAATCGCGATAAAAACAAAAAAAGAAAACCAAAGATCTAGTTGTAACACCAGCTAAGCTAAAAATCCTTGATAAACTCACTAACAAACCAAATCCACCAACTCAAAATGTTATGGCAAAACGGCTGAAGACCAGTCAAAAGAAAGTCAGTTATACCATCAATAAATAATACACTGAAGGCGAAGGTCAAGACGTAAAAGTTTATCGATTAAGTGGAAGGAATATTGAAATATCAAAAGTAGGAGCAATTCATCACTATAAATAAAGCTTCGTTTTATACACGGTTTTCGACTCATTCGCAGAGGCCAAAAGAAGCCTTTTGGAAAGAAGTAAAACCGCTCCAAAGGATTTACGGTATTACCGGGTGTCTTTTATAATATTAAAACTCGTCTTCATTTTGAGAAAATATTTTGCCCGCCGTCTGTACCCAAATTCTAAGTTTGTTGTTGTTCCATTAACTCACTTCTGTCCATGATATGATTCTGAGAAATCCAATGGAGATAAAATTCAAATATGTGTATTCCTAATAAAAATTGGATACCGATGCTGTAGAATTGTGAACTGGCACCGAGGAACATTGCTGTTTAAGGATTGATCAAAAGGAAACTCTATATGTGTAGAATTAAAAATACGACAGGATTGAGAAGATCTATAGAAATTGTATGAAGAAATACTTCGATACCTAAGCGCGTATTATAATGCCTATAAGTATAAATGAAGATGTATTTTTGTAAATTTTTATATCTATTAATAAAGTTATATTTATTTAAAAACACCCCATCATTGGTTTACTTACTAAACCTGTGTGAGTAGTTATGATAGATAATTCCCTAATAATTTAGGGAATGGTTTCTGTAGAAATGACTTCCTAGTAAAGCGGTGATTTCCACAAGTAGGTCGAGGTGAAAAATATTTAGAAGGTCGCAGAAAAATTAATTACAGTTGACAATTCTATTAATAAAATGGTTCATATTAACATTTCAATCAAAAGGTCATTAAAATGCTCTGTAATTTCATACAGTATGTTCGTAAAGTCGCTTTATAAAATGGATTATTGTGCAAAATGATGGATTATCGCTAAATGCCTTTTTGTTTATTGATTTTTTTCTCTCTCTGTTACAGGACCGTTTCGGCAGTTATAAGCACCGAAAGTGACAACTGTCGATCAACAGGATCAAAGAAGGAGAAGAAAGCATTAGCCGCGTCGAGGTTTACGATCTATAAAGTCAACAAGGCAAGCCGTAAAAAACGGGAAAAGTCGACGGCGAAAAAAGAAAGAAAAGCCACCAAAACATTAGCGATAGTATTAGGTAAGCGAAACTTGCACACACATATGCTTACTTATACGAGGTCTATTCAAAAAGCATCGCGAATTTTCAATTTCCGCGGGTCAGGTATATTCGATTTTCGTTTTTTTTGTAGCATTATGTCGGTACTTATGCCTCTCACTTATACCTACAAATTCGGCTATGTTGAATGCTCAATTAATTTTTGACAGCTGCTGCTTTGCTTGCACGTGTTTTGTTCGTCTTCAATTTTAGCTTATTCCAAAAAATGGATCAAAGAATCTGTATCAAATTTTGTATGAAAAACAAAATTAAGGACGCGGACGCATTCCGACTGTTAACTGTGGCATATGGTGAAGCTACCTTGGACCGAAGTAACGTTTATCGGTGATACAAAATGTTCTCAGAGGGCCGAGAAGATGTTAACGACGAAGAGCGTGTCGGACGCCCGAGCACGTCAACAACAGACGAAAACATTGATGAAATGAAGAAAATAGTATTGGCCAATCGTCGAATCACCGTTAGAGAAGTTGCTGAGGACCTAAACATATCGATTGGTTTCTGCCATTCGATTTTTACCAATGATTTGGGCATGTGACGGGTCGCCGCGAAATTCGTACCAAAATTGCTCACTTTCGACCAAAAACAGCATCGCATTAATATTGCTGGCGAGCTGTTGGACTCTGTTGCTCTAGAGGGTCATAACTGGTGACGAGTCAAGAATTTATGGTTATGACGCGGAAACCAAAGCTCAATCATCCCTATGGAAACTGCCGCACGAGCCAAAACCGAAAAAAGCTCGCCAAGTTAGGTCGAATGTGAAGGTTTTGCTTAGTTTTCTTCGATTGCAGGGGCGTGGTGCATCATGTGTTCTTGCCACAGGGTAGAACAGTCAATTACCTGCAAGTCATGCTCAATTTGTGACTGTTTGAAGTGCTTCGAGGATTGGAGAAAACGTTAGCTCAAGTGTATAATATCTGTTGGGGATTACTTTGGAAGGGACAAAATAGATATTCATGAATATATAAATAATTTTTGGAAAAACACAAAATTTGCGATACTTTTTGAATAGACCTCGTATGTATACCTATAGATATATACTTAACGACGAAAAGAAAAAAGAAAAGAAAAAAATAAGTGTAAAGTACTTGTGAGACATGATAAATTTGAAAAGAATCCGTCGAGATGACTGAGACTAAGGCGACATCATAAATAAAAATAAAATAAACTTTAGGAAAAAATGGTTTTATATATACTTACTGTATGTATAATATCACAGAAATGTATGTAAATGTATGAAAAAAAAATGAAATTTAGGGATAACAACTTCATCTTTCTTTGTGGCAGCCGATATAAAAAAGAATTTTATGGTCATTTAATTAATAAAAATAATACAAAAGTATCAACGCAAGGGATGTAAAAGTAGAATTAGAACTAACATAAAAATAGAAGACGAAAACGAAAACCTATACAAGAAATTTCTAATTTTCGATACATTCGAGTCAA